ATCTTGGCTCACTGCAACCTCCACCTCCCTGGCTCAGGCCAAGCGCATGCTACCACTCTCAGCTAATTTTTAATTTATGTTTTTAGAGATATGGTCTCACTATGTTTCCCAGGCTGGTCTCAAACTCCTGGCTCAGGCAGTCCTCCCGCCGTGGCTTCCCAAAGTGCTGGGATTACAGGCATCAGCCACTATGCTTGGCTTGCTCTGCCATTTTCAAATGTGAATTTTAAAGACACTTTAAACCACTTGAAAGAGGAATGATGTTTTAATGGTTTTCATTATTTGCAACTTCAAGCATTACTGTTAAACACTGCCAAATTAAGTTTCAAGTTTTCTCTTGACACAATATGGATGTACTTCATAATGGACTTCCTCATCATGATTAATGAGTGAAGTGACATTCAAACTTGGTAGCATTTCAGTAGAACTTCCTTTCCCCAACATTTTTTTTTTCTGTTCCTTTAATTATGGGCAATATCCGAGAGCTCTGAACGTAAGTCAGAGGTTTGATTATTTTTATTTTTCATGTGGCTTCCTCTGCCTGGAACTTTTTGCCCTGCACCCTCCCACTACCCTCTGTGTCCTCTTGTCATGTCCCTACCCTTTTATGAGTGTGTCTGTTTTCTGACACTACAAAACATTACAGGCTCATCTTGTGTTTTCCCTACCCTGTTCCAGAATCAGCCATTACTTCACAGAGCACAGGTTCTGTTATTGGAGAATGCCATTAGAAACCGGGATCTCATGTAGGCATGCTCATTTCTATTGGAGTGTCATACAAATAATTTGTAAAATGTTTGTAGGTCCTCCCAGTGGATAGGATTAGGAAATAAAGCGTGCATACTAACCACAGATACACACACATCTACATCTATTTCTGTATCTGTCTGTATACATATTAAAATAAACATGAGTTGATAAGTCATGTTTCCGCTCTAATCCACAGCACAGATTTCATCCTAGCCTCCCCCTCTTCCTTCTTTTTAGCTTTTTCAACAGTGGGAAATGTGGCTCTTGTTATGTATGCTTTATTCACTTATTTGACCCTAGGATCATAAAGTAGTTCTGTATGCCTGTAACAGATTGACTAACTAGAATTCATTATTTGTGTACAGATCTTTTCGTCCTAAGCCTTACAGCAGGGACATCCAATCTTTTGGCTTCCCTGGGCCACACTGGAAGAATTGTCTTGGGCCACACATAAAGTACACTAACACCAATGATAGCTGATGAGCGAAAAAAAAAAACCACAAAAATAAATTTATAATGTTGTAAGAAAGTTTACTGATTGGCGTTGGGCCACATTCAAAGCCATCCTGGGCCGTAGGCTGGACAAGCTTGCCATAGAGTATCCAGTCAACATACTGTTTTCCAAAATTACTTCTTTTTTTTTTTTCATCCCTTTCAGTGTGGCCATTATTTATAATGCAGTTTGGTTTATTAGTGTTTGTTTTCCAAATACACCCTTAGCCTTGATATCCTAGTTTTAATGAATTATTAGGGTGAAACATAATAAGAGTTGGAGCTATACAGAAAAATCTACTCAGAGGTGCTTTGTTCCCTCCTATTCTGTTCCCACTACTACTTTCCATTCCTTTTTCCACCAACCCTGTGAGCATCATGTTTATTTTTAATGGCTGTTACATTTTTACCAAGCGCTTACTATGTGTAGGCACTTGGTATGTATTGCTTCTTTTGATGTTCACCGCATCCTCTTGGGGTAGGCCCTATTATCACCCCCACCTTTTTTTTGAGACAGAGTCTTACTCTGTTGCCAGGCTGGAGTGCAGTGGTGCGATCTCAGCTCACTGCAACCTCTGCCTTGCAGGTTCAAGCAATTCTCCTGCCTCAGCCTCCTGAGTACCTGTGATTACAGGCGCGAGCCATCCTGCACGGTTAATTTTTGTATTTTTAGTAGAGATGGGGTTTTGCCTTGTTGGCCAGGCTGGTCTGGAACTCCTGACCTCAGGTGATCCACCCATCTCGACCTTCCACAGTGCTGGAATTACAGGCGCGAGCCACTGTGCCCAGCTGTTATCCCCATTTTTTAGATGAGAAAGCTGAGTCCCAGAGAGCATAAGGAGCTTGTCCGGAGTGACATCTCTGATACATAACCAGTACTCGAACCAGTATTTTTCTGACATCAAGGCCAGTGTGTAAACTGTAAAGGGGCTGTTTGGCACCTACTTTCCTAAGGTTGTCCGATCCTTTTGCAGGCCGAGTCTTCCTAAAGCTTGGCACTTCTGAAGTCACCTTTCTGAAAACATTCTGGTAATGGTTAGATCCCTTGTTCTAGCTATTCATGTGTTCTGTGTGGTTAAACAAGGTTCACAGTGGGCCACCTGGCCTTTGGAACTTGGGTGAAGAGGCTGCCTTCAGTTGATCCTCCCTACCCCATTTTCAAAACATGAGTTTTTTTGTGTTATTTGTAAATTAGGAAACATAACCATGTTTTGAGCCTTCATAGAAAACAAACGTCTGGGGTCACACAGGTTAAAGGAGCAACCAAATGCAGCACTATCACTCTTCTCTTCAGTAGATAAGTCTGGGGCCTTCCAGTGTTTCAGGTACCTGAAACAACTGTAGTAGTTGTTTCAGGACTTTGAGATAAATACAAACTATTCCTGCCCTCAGGAGGCTTAAGGTCGGGTGTACGAGTGATTCTAATGCAAGGTAAGTCTGGATTCAGTGCTGGAAGAGGAGGGCATACCTAATGCTATGGGAATTCAAAGAGGAAATGATCCGAATGAGAAGGGAGAGATGGGTCATTCCGGGAGAAGGTTCAGGGAAAAGCAACATTTAAAATGAGACTTTGGAGATTGAGGGAAATTTGGACAGGCGGATATAGAGGATGTAAGGTTAGGGAAAAGGTTTTAGCCAGAAAGTCTTCTTGTGCAAATGCATGGGTTGAAAAAAGAAAATCCACTTTGGGAGGTTTAGGTGGGTGGATTGCCTGAGGTCAGGAGTTCAAGACCAGCCTGGCCAACATGGTGAAATTCTATCTTTACTCAAAATACAAAAAATTATCCGGGCTAATTTTTAACTACTTGGGAGGCTGAGTCAGGAGAATCGCTTGAGCTTGGGAGGTGGAGGTTGCAGTGAGCCGAGATTGTGCCACTGTACTCCAGCCTGAGTGACACAGTGAGACTCCATCTTAATAATAATAATAAAATTTTTAAAAAGTTATGGATCTGGATGGAAGGAAAAGGAATGTATAAAAGAAGTAAATGGCTGGGTGTAGTGGCTCACACCTGTAATCCCAGCACTTTGGGAGGCTGAGGTGGGCGGATCATGATGTCAGGAGATCGAGACCATCCTGGCCAACATGGTGAAACTCCATCTCTATATACAAAATACAAAATTAGCTGGGCGTGGTGGCAGGTGCCTGTAATCCCAGGTACTCGGGAGGCTGAGGCAGGAGAATCGCTTGAACCCAGGAGGCAGAGGTTGCGGTGAGCCGAGATCCAGCCACTGCACTCCAGCCTGGCAACAGAGTGAGACTCGATCTCAAAAAAAAAAATAAATAAAAGCAAACACACACAAGAAGTTACAAATACAGAATAAAAGTAAAATGCAACCATCACCCCACATTCCAGGGTATCCATTTTTACATCTTTTCTTTCGTTCTTTCTGTCTTTATATAATTGTATAAATGCTGCATAAACCTCTTACCTGCTGCCTCCTCAACCTCCCTCCCTCTCTCACTGTCCCTTTCTGCTCCTGGAGAGCCACCCTCTCTCCATGTACCCTTACCATCAGCTTCAGGTTCTTCCCATGTTACTGAAAAGAAAATCTTATAAGCCTGTGTCATTCTCTACATATCCCCCCATCTCCTTACATTCATAGCCTTTAAAACATATATGTAGCAGTTATTGTGGTTATTTTTCTGATCACAAAATTTAAAAAAAAAAAACTCTTTCTAGAATACTGGAATATAGAGGCAAGATTTTTTTAAGAAAACCCAGTTACTCCATTACCCAATGAAACTCGAAACGCTGATGTACATCCTTCCAAAATTTCTTTTTATGACAACATGCTTTTTATTTTTTTTTTATTTTTATTATTTTGAGTTCTGGGATACATGTGAAGGACGTGCAGGTTTGTTACATAGGTAAATGTGTGCCATGGTGGTTTCCTGCACCTATCAACCCATCACCTAGGCATTAAGCCCGGCGTGCATTAGCTGTTTATCCTCATGCTGTCCCTCCCCTCCCCTCCTGCTCCCCCGCAGGCCCTTGTGTGTGTATGAGGACAATTTCTTGACGTAAAGATTTCATTTATTCCCATGGAATTCTAAAGTCTTTTCATACTTGTGAAGGAATAATAGTTTAGAAATAAACTGAACTTTAAAAGATACCATTTTAATAAATAATCTACAGCCATAAAAAATTATGAGAACTATGCAATAATATTAAACCCTATCATCTGCCGACTGCCTCCTATATTCCAGAAACTTGACATACACCAACTCTAATTCTTACAAGAACTCTCTGTAGGCTTCAGCATTAGATGGACCAGGTTTCACCAGCTGTGTGGTCTTGGATAAGTACCCAATCGCCTGTCTCTAAGTTTCCTCACCTGTGAAAACAGTTTCTACCAGCTTCCAAATGAGATGATCAATATAAGGCACTTGGAACAGAGCCTGACACATCATAAGCACTCTATAAATGTCTATTATTATCACCAAATAAATTCCAGGTGCCTTGAAAATTTAAATGAAAAATAAAATCAAACCATGACAATACTAGAAGCAAATTCAGGTGAACACTTTTCTAATCCTGGGGTGGAGAAGACCTTTCTAAGCATGATACCAAAGGCAGAGATGATAAAGGCAAAGGATCCACAGAATTCACCGTCTGATAAAAATCACTTCTGATGCTGAGCGCGCTGGCACACGCCTGTAATCCCAGCAGTTTGGGAGGCTGAGGCGGGCGGGTCACTTGAGGCCAGGAGTTTGAGACCAGCCTGGTCAACATGGTGAAACCCCCGTCTCTACTAAAAATACAAAAAATTAGCCGGGCGTGGTGGTGGTGCCTGCCTGTAATTTCAGCTACTTGGGAGGCTGAGGCATGAGAAGAATCACTTGAACCTGGGAGGCGGAGGTTGCAGTGAGCCAGCCTGGGTGACAGAGACTGCATCTAAAAAAAAAAAAAAAAAAAAAAAAATTAGCCAGACATGGTGGCATGTGCCTGTAGTCCCAGCTACTCAGGAGGGTGAGGCATGAGAATCACTTGAACCTGGGAGGTGGAGGTTGCAATAAGCCGAGATCATGCCACTGCACTCCAGCCTAGGTGACGGAGCAAGACAACAACCAACCAACAAACAAAAAAGTCACTTCTGAATGGCGGAAAGCCCCACAAAGTTAGAAGTCAATTAATAATTTGGAGAAAACAATTAGTAACTTGTTGGACAGACAAAAGACTTTTTTTTTTTTTTTTAAGATGTTGGCACTGCTATGAGCATGGTCTTTCCCTTTATTGCAACTCACAATCAAAACCTTTGATTCTTTTTTTATATTCCAGTCCCAGAAGTAGATTCCACTGCAGAAGTTAACTGATGAGTCTTATTCTTTCTAGCAGTAGCTTACAACCCGGCTCTAGCTTCTCCAGGAACACTACAGGATGAATTTAGTTTAAATATGTATTAAACTAAAAGGCATTCTCTCAAATGAGTTTAAATGCATTTTATTTTTAGAGAACCTACATGACATGTTTTTCTTAAAAACAATGCCTCCACTCCAAATAAATCACAGTCAAAATAAATGAAGATCTCAGGATGACATCAGTCCCATTTGTCTTAAGTCCTGGTGTGTGGATGACAAGCAGAAGCCAGTTATGATGACAGGTGATAGATCCAAAGTAATTGTCAAATCTGTTAACATTTTTCCATTTCTAAACCATCCTTAAAGAAAATCATATATGGGGTCACACCATCTTCACGGTAGTCCAATAGAGCAACCATGCCATCTGGATTCATGTTTCCACCAATAAAGAACTGGTAGTTTTTGAAATTAGCAAGGATGTGCTTGATTTGTTCTGCAGCCCCTGTCATAAAAGGTTTTACTCTTTCTGGTCTTTGTTCTTCAAGTTTGCCTTTGATTGATTTCATGTAATCTTTGATGTACTTCTCGTAGGATTCTTTTGTGAAACTTGTTTCCTGCAGGTGATGGTTCATGACAATATCGACACCAGTGATTACTGTGCTTTCAGTACCTTCGCCCTCGGGGCCTTCAGCGGAGGCATTTCCACCAATGAGCGTCATCAATGTTACCTTCTGTCCTACTGGCCATCTTCCCCTCCACCTCCAGGCACAGCCCGTCAGCGATCTCCCGGATCTTGTAGATGTCAGAGAACATCTCATCGTGGCTGATGAGATCCCGGTAGATAATCATGATGGTGGCTGACGGGAGAGGACGGCGGCGCTAGCCTAGCAGGAGCCCGAAGCTCGGAGCGAGCGCTGTGCAGCCGGAGCGGCGCTAGCGGGGAGGGGGGAGCGGGCGGAAAAGCAAGACATTTTTAATATAACAAAAACTTCAAAAATAAAAACATACACATTCGAGGACATTTTCCTAGAAAAACAAGCAAAGGACATAAACAGCAAAGTGAGAAGACAGCTTGATGTGGCCATATTATCCAGGGGGACATTTTGGTGAGCTCTATGGACACAGCTACCATGATGCCACCAGTGTGACAGCTGTCCGTTTCAAAATGTGTGAGCCCCAGCTCTTCCTCGCCCCAACCTCCATTACAAAGGACCTGCGCTCTCTACTTTATTCCTTTCTGCATTAATTTTCTTTTACAAATATGTTAGTTGTCATCAGAAAAAAGAAAGAAACTGTTAGGGTTAGCCCCTTAAAGGGGAGCAAGAATCACCTTTCTAAAAGAAATTTTGTGGCCAGGTGCGGTGGCTCACGCCTGTAATCCCAGTACTTTGGGAGGCCAAGGCAGGTGGATCATGAGGTCAGGAGATCAATACCATCCTGGCTAGTATGGTGAAACCCCGTCTCTACTAAAAATACAAAAATTAGCCAGGCGTAGTGGCGCGTGTCTGTAGTCCCAGCTACTCTGGAGGCTGAGGCAGGAGAATCGCTTGAACCCGGGAGGTGGAGGTTGCAGTGAGCCGAGATCACGCCATTGCACTCCAGCCTGGGCAACAAAGCAAGACTCGGTCTCAAAAAAAAAAAAATTATATGTTAAATATAGTATTTGCATATGTGAATCTTGAGAGAAAAGTTAACAGTTGAGTTGAATATTTCCTCTGTAGTCTGGAGCTAAAAATAAGGAATCTTACTGTGTCCTAAATCTTTTCTTCCACCCAGTGTCTGTCTAGACGTAATTCATTCATTCATTCAACAAGCACTCACTCAGCCAGGCATGGTGCTAAGCCTTGGGATGTCGCTGTGAACCTGAAACAGCCCCTACCCACCCACCCCGCATGGTATAGACATTGTTGTTGGGAGTTGGAGGAGGAACAGGTAAACAATAATTAAATATCAGGTTAATGATATATTGTTAAGTTTGAGGGTTGAGGAAAGGACGAGGAAAATGGCAGGGCCAGGAGGCCTCCAAGGAGGTGACCTTTGAGAAGACACATGCAGCAGATAAGGGAAGAGTGAAGAGGATTTCTAAGAACATTCCAGGAAAAGAGAACAGCGGCATCCAAGGCCCGGAAGCGGGCGGGGGCCTGGTGTGTGTGAGAAACCTCAGGGTTGCCAGCACTGCTAGAGCAGAAACATGAAGCAAGAGGGCTGTGGGCGATGAGGGCAGGGAGGTCCCGGGGTAGGGAGATCAGATGGGGCTGTGTGTATCATGCTTTGCATTCTGTTCCAAGAGCTAAGATGGTTGACATAATTAGGAAAAAAAAAAGCCCAGAAAAGCAGAGGTATCCGTTTTTCCTATTTTTTTTTTTCATGGTAAAGATCATTCCAATTAAAACCTGATTCCTGGGTATATATAATTTGTAGGCCAAATGGTGCCAATCCCTAGTTCCCTCATCCCCTCACTTCCCTCTCCCTAAAACCTGTACCTCGACTCCCGTTTGTAAGTGATGGGAGTTAGGAATAGGGAAATCTCCCGGTTGCGTGTTCTGAGCGAAGAGGTAACATAGCAGCTCTGTTATTTTCTTTCTTTCGTCTCCAAGGGAACCATGAGTCACCCTGAGCTATCCCCCGGGAATGTGGCCCTCAGAGTGTTCTTTTGTTACTGATTGATGATTTTGTTATGTACACCTGGAGCAACGGAACATACCATACCAGCTTGTCAAGGTTGCTGTGGGCAAAGGTCAATGACGTATGTGAACAGGGTTCCGTGCTTGGGGTCCTGAGTTTCTGGTGCTGTGGCCAGCTGCTAGCAGATTGTATGTGTATGACCAGCCCCTATCTGAGCCTCTCAGACCCTGAAACTCCAAACAGGCTTCCCTGGACAGAGGCATTCTCTTCCTGCTCCCTGGCTTGCTGCTCGAGAGGGAACGACCACATCCTGTGTGGCTTCCTCTCAGAGGAAGAAGGACATTGGAAGCCTGTGCTGGGCTTCTCTGGACCCCCCTGATGTATATGTGTGTATGTTAAAGAGAAACTGGGGTCTCACTCTGTTGGCCAGGCTGGTCTCAAAGTCCTGGCCTCAAGCAGTCCTCCTGCCTCCGCCTCCCGAAGTGCTGGGATTATAGGCATGAGCCACTGTGTCCGATGTATATATTTTTCCAGCTCCTTTCTTTTTTGTATCATTTGCTGTTTCTAACTCAGCTATTAGTATAAACTGCTCTTGAGTTGTGTAAATCTTTCTGGTGATTCACTGTGATGGGATGATTGTGTCCCCTCAAAATTCCTCTGTTGGAATTCTAACCCATGGTACCTCAGAAAGTGACTATATTTGAAGAGAGGTCTTTAAAGAGGTTATTGTTAATTAATTGATGAGGTCATTAGGGTGAACTCTAATCCGATAAGACTGGTATCTTATAAGAAGAGGAAATGAGCACACAGACACACACAGTCAGAGGGAGAAGGCAGCCATCTACAAGCCAAGGGGACAGATCTCAGAATAAACCGACCCGGCCTACACCTTGATCTTGGACTTCCAGTTGCCAGACCTGTGAGAAAACAAATGTCTTGTTTAAGCCAGTTCCCAGCGTGTGGTACTTGTCAATACACTCACTGAATGAGGCAGGTAGCTGTTTCTTTTCTTTTATTTCTTGAGACAGGGTCTCACTTTGTCTCCAAGGCCAGAGTGCAGTGGTGTGATCACAGCTCACTGCAGCCTTGACCTTCCACGCTCAAGTGATCCTCCCACCTCAGCTTCTTGAGTAGCTGGGACTACAGGCATGCACCACCACGCCTGGCTAATTTTTGTATTATTATTTTTATTTTTTAGAGATAGGGTTCACCATGTTGCCCAGGCTGGTCTCAGACCCCTGAGCTCAAGCGATCTGCCCTCCTTGGCCTCCCAAAGTGCTGGGATTACAGGCGTGAACCACTGTGCCTGGCAGTGGTAAATTTTTCATATGCTATTTTCTTGATGATTATGTTTCTGTTTCTGATATAATGCCTTTTTATGAGAGAGTTTTAGGCCTGATGCGGTGGCTCAAGCTTGTAATCCAGCACTTTGGGAGGCCAAGGCGGGTGGATCACGAGGTCAAGAGATCGAGAACATCCTGGCCAACATGGTGAAACCCTGCCTCTACTAAAAATACAAAAATTAGCCGGGCGTTTGGCACGAACCTGTAGTCCCAGCTACTCAGGAGGCTGAGGTGGAAGAATCGCTTGAACCCGGGAAGTAGAGGCTGCAGTGAGCTGAGACTGCCACTGTGCTCCAGCCTGGGCGACAAAAAGAAAGAAAAGAAAAAAAAGAGACCATCTATGAGAGAGTTATCTGTTTGTTTTTATTTTTTAATGTTTGAATTTAAAAATATATATTTAATGTAATTTGCAAAATTAAAATTATGTTTGAATAATTTAAATATATTTGAATAATTCAAAAAGTATGAGCAAGTATACAGTGAAATTTTCCTCTCATTCCTTTTTCCCATTAATCAGTGTACTTCCCAACAGCCAGCAAATAATTTTAGTTTCCTCAGTCCCTGAGCTATTTTATGTATATGCAAGCAGATATATACATACATATTTCTGCCTCGTAACATAAATAGTAGCATACCATACAACTGCTCTGCTCCTTCCTTTTTTTAAGCTAAGAATGCTAAAAGAGTGGAAAAGATATACACTAAAAAAAATCAAAAGAAAACTAGAGTAACATTATTATAAGAACTGATTATATCGGTTTCGGAGCAATGATTACTGCTAGGAAAAAAGAGGGTAATTTCACATTGATCAAAAAGGTCAACTCATCAGGAAGACATAATAATAATAAGCACTTATGTACTTAACAGAGCATCAAAATACTTGAAGCATAAATGATAGAACTGTGGGGGAAAGCACACAAATTAATGACTAGTTGAAGATTTCCATATCCCTCTCTGAAAAACTGGGTAGTACAAGTACGCAGAAAACTGGTAAGGATACGTGACTTGAACAACATTATCAGCCAAATTGACTTCATTTACATTTGCAGAATATTCCAACTAAGAACATCAAAATACATACTCTTTTCAAGAGCACATAGAACGGTTACCAAGATAGGCACCATTTTGGGTCACAGAACAAGTCTCAACAAATTGAAAGCATTCAGATCAAATATGACCATGATGAAATTGAACTAGAAACCAATAATATATCTCTAGAAAATCCACAAACATTTAGACATTAGTATGCCTTCTAAAAAATTTATGCATCAAGAATAAATCAAAAGGGATACTAGAAAGTACTACAAACTGATGGCCGGACATGGTGGCTCACTCCGTAATCCCAGAACTTTGGGAGACCAAGGCAGGTGGATTACCTGAGGTCAGGAGTTCAAGACCAGCCTGGACAACATGGTGAAACCACGTCTCTACTAAAAATACAAAAAATTAGCCAGGCATGGTGGCGGGCACCTGTAATCCCAGCTACTCAGGAGGCTGAGGTATGAAAATCGCCTGAACCCAAGAGGCGGGGGCTGCAGTGAGCCAAGATCACGCCATTGCACTCCAGCCAGGGAGACGAGATGAAACTCCATCTCAAAGAAAGAAAGAAAGAAAGAAATTCACCATTTAGCATCCATAGTAGTAATAACTGATTTGGGTGAGAGTCAGCAATGGGTGCTAAAAGTAGTGGGTGAAAGCTTGATGAGGAATAGGATACTTACATACCCCCAAACTAAGCCACTAGTTATTAATAACAAAGGGGAAAGTAGTAATTTTACAATGGGAAGACACCACTGTGAATGGACAATGAAAGAACATCAACGATAATGGGAAAAAATGACACTATTTACCTCCTGCTGTGCTGCTCTGAGAACAAGTATAATTTCTATGGTAGTCATCCAAAAATGCATGACCTGAGTCCGTTCGTGGGGCAGCATCAGACAAACCCAGATTGAGGGACATTCTACAAAACAACTGGCCAAGATTCGTCAAAAATGTCAATGTCACGAACGGCAAACTCTGGGGAACTCTTCCTTGTTCAGGAGACAGTTCAGTGTAATGTGTGATCGTGGACTGTGAAAAAAGTAACTATAAAGGATGGTATTGAAACGATTGTCAAGACTGGAGTATAGCAGTAACAACTCAAGGCCAAATTTCCTGATTGTACCGGGGTATGTAAAAGAATGTCTTAGAAAGTACGCACTGAAATACAGGTGAAGAACAATAGCTCCAATTTACAAACGGTTCTGAAAAAATCTATATACGCACACACATACACAGAGACAGCGAGAAGGCAGCTGATAAAGCGAGTGGGGCGAGATTTGTTGAAACTGGTGAATCTGAGTAAAGGGCATTCAGGACTTCTTCGTACCATTGTTGCAACATTTCTGTAAGGTTGAATTTATACCAAAATTTACAGTTTAAAAAGGAAAGAAGAAAGAGAGAAAAGGCATAAACAATATTAAAAATAAAACAGAAGATTACTATAGATGTAGTAGAGAGTTTAAAGATCATGAAGAAAATACTAGAAACAAGAGTCTTTATATTATTTTTAAATTTATTTTTGAGATGGAGTCTCGTTCTGTAGCCCAGGCTGGAGTGCAGTGGCGCCATCTCGGCTCACTGCAACCTCCACCTCCCAGGCTCAAACTATTCTCCTGCTTCAGCCTCCCAAGTAGCTGGGATTACAGGCCTGCACCACCATGCCCAGCTAATTTTTATATTTTTAGTAGAGACAGAGTTTCACCATGTTGGCCAGACTGGTCTTGAACTCCTGACCTCAGGTGATCCTCCTGCCTTGGCCTCCCAAAGTGCTGGGATTACAGGCGTGAGCCACGTGTCTGGCCCTTTATCTTATAGATATACATACTGAAATACTTATTATAAAGTGGTGGGATATGTGGGATTTCCTTGAAGATAATCCAGGGGGCCAGGCACGGGGAAATCCCATCTCTATTAAAAATACAAAAATTAGCCAGGTGTGGTGGTAGCTCACTCCTGTGGTCCCAGTTACTTGGGAGGCTGAGGTGGGAGGATCACTTAAGCCCAGGAGGTTGAGATCAGCCTAGGCAACATGGTGAAACTCCATCACTACAAAATAAACAAAAATTAGCTGGACTTGATGGTGCACACCTGTAGTCCTAGCTACAGAGGAGGCTGAGGTGGAAGGATTGCTTGAGCCCAGGAGGCAGAGGTTGCAGTGAACCGAGATCATTTCATGGCACTCCAGCCTGGGCAACAGAGTGAGACCTTGACTCAAAAAAAAGAAAAGGAAAAAAAAAGCCAAAATGGGCAGATCACCTGAGGTCAGGAGTTCGAGACCAGCCTGGCCAATATGATGAAACCCTGAGGCAAGAGAAAGAGAGACAGAAAGAGGGAAGGAAACAAGGAAGGGAGGGAGGGAGGGAGGAAGGAAGGAAGGAAGGAAGGAAAGGGAAGGGAAGGGAAGGAAGAAAGGAAAGAGGGAAGGAGGGAAGGAAGAAAGAAAAGAAAGAGAGAGAGAGAAAGAAAGAAAAAGAAAAAGAAAGAAAGAAAGGAGGGAGGGAGGGAAG